AAACTAAATAATAAGAAGTAAAAGTCTCCTTTTAATAGACTTGAAATCAAATTTAAAGTAAAAAAGAAATAAGTAAAAGAATTCCTCCATTTCCTATCCAACAACAAATAAGTAAAAAGCTCAATAAAAACAGACTTTTTTTGGAGGAGAGATTTTTATCCGAATACCACAAATAAGAACTATTTAAAACAATAGCCGCGCGGTATAAAAATAAAATAAACTTCTTCATTTTAAAACCTATCTCACGTTACATGCTACACAGATCAATTAAATTTCTACTGTCACAAGCAGCTTAAAACATTTCTACTTGCCTTCTGTAGTAATAATTAGAATGGGCTCAAACACGATAACGAAACGTTACATTAACTTTTCAAAAATGATTCACAATCGTATGCTACAGGAAATGAATTGCTAAAAATACAGTATGAATGACACAACAAATCGTATGTGAATTTGACGGCACTCTCTCGTCACTTCCGCAATTTGAAATGTCAAGATTCATGTGAAATTCAGACACTAAATTTACTGAAATGAGAGTTCCTTTCAACTAAAGCAAACGAATATCACAAATTTTCTCTTTCTCTCTCTATATATATTAAAAGTGTGATATCCGTTATTCCATCGAAAACATAATTATTTCATGAAATAGCAGATCAACTCTGTTAAAGTGTGTAAAAAATTCCACACTTTAGTTAGTTATTTCATAAATTAACGATCCCGTTAATGTGTAAAATAACCGACATGATTCCCTTCCTATTTGTTAATATAAGCAATTATATTGCGATGTACAGGATGATTATAATTAACTTTCTGAATTCAAAAGGCTGTGAAGTGAGAACCGCTTGTCAGAAATAGCATACAATTTTCAATCCACTGTAAAGTGTTATATAATACTAATGCTATTAATTTCTATGTTTAAGAACATGGAAAGCATTTAGGAAACATAGAAACTATCTCTTCAAACGAAGCTAGCGGAAGATGCTGTAAAACAATTCCTTGACATATTACTGTTATTTGGTATCTCATATGTATTATAGTCGGGTGATGGAAAAAAAAATTTGTAATAGTTTTATTTATGGCATAAAAGTAACCTGACAGGAGCTAGACTGTGCATAGCAAACCAAGACATAGTCAAAGCCAAGGCAGTGTTGAAAAAGCAAATCAGGAAAATACGTTGACGACATGAGAGCAAGACAACTAGTGCACTGGAGTACTGAGTTAAAATTTATTCGGTTTTTGAAAACAAAGCATTTTACTCTGAGGTGCCCTTGCAAGTTTCTGTTTGGTTGTGCAACTAGAACAGGACTGTCAACAATCCACTCCAAAGGAGGTACTTTGACTAAAATGAGTCAATCTGTCCCATCTTGATAATAAAAGCTGGTTGCGAAAAAACAAGGTTAATAAAGAAATTAGTAAAGAACAAATATTAGAATGCAGTGAAAACTCAGTTTGTTAGTAATGTAATGAACCAATTGGAAAAATGTGTTAATCAACTGATTGTTCGCAAGAAAATTAAACACTGCAAAACGTGTTTGGAAATTCAAGCTAAGAAAATAAAATTAATGTTAGCCAAATTTCATTTTGAAGCCTTTGAGGGATTTACAGTCCGCATCCCAGGACCTGAAGTTGACAGAGGAAGAGGTGACCGCCCGACTTATATAGCTACATGAAAATAACCGAAGAAGGATTTTTCCCATTAGGAATAAATAAGTAAGGGCCGCATAAAACAGCTATATTCCCGATCCCAGTACAAAATCTATAAAACAAATTAAAATCGAAGAAATGCCAAATATAGAGAAATTCCTCTGGTCGGTTGTTACAGCTCAAAGGGTCAGATCAGAGATTTAAAAAATGTTCCCGTAAAAAGAAGTATGTCAAGAAAAAGTTTTATTTTCGTCTCCCCTGGCCTGAAATACTGTTCTAATGGTTACATTACACGTGTATACAGGACACAAATGATTAATGTATATTACGTGATACAAATGATTTTATTGTGTCTTTGCAGAAATAGCATTTTGCATGCTGTATAAATCAGTTAAATAGTTCTTTAACTGTCAATCATGAGTTAATTTATATAATGAATAGTTATTGTAAGAAATAACTGTTTTCGAATTTTTCTCCCCCTTTAGCTTCAGCTGCAAGTAGCTTTCAATTTTGATTGCATTTAAAAACAAATTTAGACAAGTGCTATTTCGTTCCTGGCCTTTCGAGAGTAGGCAACTAATTTTGCTTCGGTTTTCCTAACTAATTTTTATCTTAATATTTATTTTCTGAATATTCCGGAAAGGTAAACACATTTAATTTTTAATTTCTAAAAACAAAAATGTTTTCCACATTTCTCGAACTTTTGGAAAGATTATTTGCACTATTTTAATCGAGTTTCATTTTTGTTCTGCTTGGGTATACCTGAATATATTAATATTTTGTTTTACTTTTCAATTTATCGCAAAACTATTCGATTTAAAATAAATATACACTTATATCAATTTTATGCAGTGATTGTTTACACCGTTCTAAATGAATTTCCTTTTTGTTCTACTTTGTAGCATATGAATACGATTTTCTTCTCTTTTTAAAATTACACATACAGTATTGAACTTACATATAAGCTGTAACTTAGGACTACCGCTTTCCTGAGGGGCCTACCAAAATATTTGTCCCATATCCCGTTAAAAAAAATTCCATATTCCTTAAAAAGGGCCCCACATATCAAATAGCTTAGGTCATCAAATCTAAATACGGTCCTGTATATATACAACAGAAATAAAAATTCAAAAATTAAAAATTCCAATAATGTGCACCAACTGCTAATACAAATAATAGCTAAAATAAGCAAATAGCGAGAACCTGGCAAGTCTACACAAACAAAACAACCAAATAAAGAGGGAGGGAGATCGCGTAAAATTACAGCTTTGCGTTAGGGAACAAACTAGAATTTAACGTGATCAATCGCTTTTTTTTAAAATTTATTTATGGAAGAAGTCTGGAAAAAATTAATAAAATTTTACGACCTACATTTATTAATTAAAAATAAAAACTAAAATTTGTTCTAGAAACAAATCCATTCCAAAGCAGTTATATGTATGTAGGTGTGTTTAATTATGGCAAAGTACACTAGGGCTATCTGTCTAAGGGGAGGGATGCCTTCGTGGAGGACTTTCTAAGGGAAACTGACTCGTATACACGTTACACGTGGGGAAAACCACGAAAAAGCCCATGCAGCCAGCCCGTTCGTGGGATTCGAACCTCAGACCGAACTACCAGTGTTCAGCGACTTTACCGCTCGGCCGCTGGTGGGCTCCAAAGCGGTTGTAATAAACAGTGACAAATGTAATTTACAAAATCAAGAATGATGAAATTTGGTTAAAACTGCCAGAAGTTTGCAAAAGATACGTAAAAAACAAAAATTTTAACAGAAAATATTTTGGAGGGATTTTAAATAAAAATTAGCCTAGGAGCTCAGCAATCACAAGAAAACATTTTGTGGATACCCGATTTATAGATTTATCAACAATGTTTAAAATAATCCAAAATCTTTGCTGCATTTTATTATAGAAGGGGGACTTTGTGTGATTTTCAATCATTAAGACAACATTTGTTCATACTTATGTACAGGCAATATCTAAATTAGTCTGCTTTCACTTTTTTATCATCCATTAAAAATATTCAGTTTGGTTTGTAAAGCAAAATTTCACGAGATTTTTAATTAGAACCGACGCAAATGTTAATCCTTTGAATGTTTCCAACACACTGTAATTATTTACCGTATGAAGAATTAATTTTAAACTTAATATATAGTGAATTTTTTAATATCTGTAGAAGCATGAAAAGTGGTTTTATGAAATAAAAATTAGTTTTTCAGTTTTAAAAAACACAACGAATTTCAATAGCAAAACTTTTTCAACTCAATTAAAGACACATGATGCTATCTACATTTCATTTGTTTACATCTTTCTTCAGCTACATAATTTTAGTCAAAAATTTATTATTTTTTTAATTATAAAAACTTTTCAGGCTCGTGATTCCAGAATTGAAGCTCTGGGGGTTGAGACAAACTTTGAATTTCCATATGCGTGACATGATGCAAAAAGTCGACGCTTCTGTTTCGACTCCTCGTGTTAAAAAGTGGCCCATATTTCCGCATAATTACGGGAGGCCTGAGAATATCTATGGTCCACTTTTTGTTAGTGGATTAAAACTGAGACAATTCTCCATAGGTCATATTTGTAAAATCGAATGCAAATTTTGTCTGTTTATGAATACAATCGAATAAAATGTTATATTGCTAAGAGGAGAAAAAATTAAATTTAATATCAACAATTGAAATTCTCTCACATGTTCCAGTAAAATTTTTAATTTCTGAATATAATCTGACATGCGTATAAGCCAAGAGGTAATATTTTGCTCCAAAAATTCAACCGAAGTTCAAAACTTGTAAGCTGAATTTAAAGTAATTCGATGAATCCATTTATATGAAACAATAATACAAATATTTAGTTATATAGCTTAGCTAGACTTGTCAAACGAGCTGAAAATTGCAGAATTAAGTTATAATGCTTATTGTGTAAATAAATATAACAATAATAATCACGAAAAAATAATAAATTATACGTAATAAATTACTATTGCATTTCAATTTGCTGTAATTTATAGTGCTTACTGTTAATTCGATAACTATAATAATAAATTATAATAATCACATAACACAAGGCAATTATCGTACTAATAAATAGAAATTAAATATATTAATTTATATTTATTACTACGCTAATTACTATTTATTATTATAGTCATCCATCTTCTTAAGAAGGGATTTTGACTTTTTTTTTTTTTTTGGAAGTTCTTGCAAGAACTCCAGAAGAGTTTCCCACATTCCAACTTTCCAGGTTTTCAGAAAATAAAGCTGCAATTCTAAATGCGCAACAATTTAAAAACGTTCAGTATTTCCCGAGAACAGCAATGAGAATAGTAAGGGTGAAAATAACAACCAAGACACTTACTTACACTTTAAAACGGACTTCAGTAGTGCTTTTAACACAAGAACTTTGACAAACTGAGGATTTTTCATTCATTTCCTCCAAAATGAAATCTCCGCCAATAAGTCCCTAAAACATAAGAACGCAATTAAAATTCCATGACATAGTAACAAATATGTTACACATCATCTACATATCAAGAGTATTAAAATTAAACTTCACGAAATATTTAAAAAAAACTATTCAGACGTTAAACCCATCTACATTTATACATATGCATATCAGACAGCTGAAATAATCACATTTTATCCTACCTTCCTCTTCTTAATAGGTTACACATAATATTATAATATTAAAAAAAAAACTATGGAAACGGGGTTCCTGACAAAATGATGATGAGCAATAAAATATTTTAGCTTTCAAATAATACACATAGAGAGAGAAACGGTTAGCTCATGCAAGGGCTATTTTTCAAACTAGGAATACCTTTTTAAAGGACTTGAACAACGCTAACTAGTGAAAATTAAAAGTGGATATTTATTTTTCAAAAGATTTCAATGTTTTCCAAAATACCATGTTCTTCATTAAGTGTAACGCAACAAGTTGGATATTTTAACTAAAGAATAACACTTCAGATGATTAACAAACACGTAAAAACAATATAAACCTGCAAATAATCGAAGTTGGAATTTAAACTACCAGCGATCTCAGTTTACTCAGCAATCTGTAGCTCCATTCTATCACTGTTAAAAAGTAAATCTAATTACTTGTCATTTTAAATTGAACATCTCTTAGCAGTATTGGAGAAATGAATAACAGCTAAAGCTGTTTAAAATTGCTAACTTAACTGGTTAAGATGATACTAAAGTACCACAGTATTCAGCACAACAAATTAAAAAATTAGATGCTTTGAACTTCATTCATGGAACAGATACACTAATGTTTAACAATCTTAACACAATTGACAAAAAGATTACAGGTTATAAGGGTCTTTAAAGTTCAGCAAAATTCTGGAGATTTAATATATAACTATTGACGGGATTAGCATTTAAAAGATAACACATACTTTGAAGAACATTCAATTCAGCTATCATGCATATCACCAACTGAACGCGTGCACCTGATTTTCATGAAAATTATTCAACTGTCATATATAAACTCGCCTTTTCTTGACTATGATTTAACGGAACCCTAACATTCCGAGCGAATTAATTAAGGGTTCCGCTACAAACAGTATCGAATAGGCAACTATATATGATTAGCCATATAAAAATATATTTGGCTCAAGTTATGTAATGTTATTATAGGTATCCAGGGAGTTATCATTTCAAATACTCCGCAAGAAAGTTGAGAAAAGCGGGTGTAGTATATGTATTACATACATTGCGATGTTATCATTAAGCTTCTTTCTCAGTAATGTTGAATAGAAATGGCAAAAGTGTGAGAAAAATTGTTTCATGTTACATTTTATTACTTCATAAACATTAAATTTTTCCAGAATACAAATAGCTGTAACAAATTCAACAATTTTTTAAGACTTCTTGAAAGACAGCAAAACACACTGTGACACTGTTATCCAATAATTTTATAACTCATATTTAATACCAGATTTTACATTTAGGTTTTCCCCCTCCACCTTTCAAAAGGGTTACATTCAAATGGCCAAAGGCAATTTAATATCTCAGTGGTCACTGGTGTAGGTGTACTAATAGTCATCGAAGTACACTGAGTAGTAGTCATCGAAGTATATTAGCGGATGACTGGTCAGTTTTTTCGAAGCAAAGAGTCGGAAACTCGCTTTAGGCGGGGCGTAGATGATTATTCTATACTTATTGATATAATTATTATAATGAAAAAATGAGAAATCAATGGCTGTTTTCTACACGGAAGAGGGGAAAAGACATGAGTCTTTCTTCCAAGGTACACTCTTATATACTACGTAATAAGTCCTTTAAAGTTACTGAAGGGTGTGAATAAATATTTGCACATTACACAAATCTTATAATTATTTAGTAATTACAGGTACCATAATCTCTTGAGTGAAAAAGTCAATTATGCAAATAAACATAAAGGAAGGACGAATCAACATTTCAGAGTCATTTACATATTATTTCTAAAAGAAACGAGACCGACTGAATTTAGATCACGTCGATCTTACAATTTAAATGATTTATCACGTAAGAAATATAATACGTTTAAATACTTTTCAGGCATCGAAAAAAAGTACTTATTTAAACAACTATAATTATTATTTACACAGTAATAAAAATATATTACGGATAAGCATTCTGTGTACTCTTTGCATATTCTCTTCTTTAGATTCTCTCTTCATAGATTGTCTGATGAACCTTAAAATTTAATACGCTTGTAAATTTAATAATTTTCACATATTTCATTAGTGAAAATAACAGGAACTTTCTGGATTAAAAAAAATCACTCTTACTTATATCAGTGGCACAACAGCGGCCAAGTGGTAGAGTCCCTCAACACTGGTAGTTGGGTCCGAGGTTCGAATCCCGCAAACGGCTTGGCTGTATGGGTGTTTTCGTGTTTTTCCCACGTGTAACTTAATACAAGCCAGTTTTCCTTAGAAAGTCCTCCACGAAGGCATCCCTCCCTTCTGTGTAGTGATTTAGGGGGGGAACACGTAAATAATAATGCTTGTATCAGTCAATATTACACGATATCAAGAGTTTCTTAACGCTTGGGGCATACGTTGTACTTTTCAGACACAACAAAACATTATCTCACCTAAGAATTTGTTAGTATTAATACAATGCAAAATCAAAAACAAGTGAACAAATCCGATAAGAAGTCCCCTTTCCCCGATAAAAATCATCAATCCAATAAGAAGCCCCCTTTTCCAGATAAAAATCATTAAAAAAAAAAAAAAAAAAAAAAAAAAAAAAAAAAAAGGAAACATATATTCTTTTAACATTATTCTAGACTAATTTAAATATGGTGATTTCACAGTTGCATAAACACGACTGAAAACTTAGTTCGCTATTACACATTTTCACAACAAAACTGCAACTTAAATTGTCGATTTTAGCATTCATTGAGTATTAATATATTTCAGTGATTCTAAAATTCTGTTCCGGAAAATCTTCAGATTCCCAGAAATTTCTTCCACAAGTCCAAATCAAAATTCGAAAACAGTTTTAAATACAACATGGACCACATATTTTTTTAAAAATTTTTACTGTTACTGCTATCTAAAAGAATATGCAACAAAGTTCTAAGGAAATAATAATGATTTTATTTTTCATTTCTCACATAAAATTCATGTAACACTGACATATTTTTAATGCATTTTTTAAAATTTACTTTTCTGAGGATAAGAGCTCTAATCTCTTTCTCTCAATGTATAAAGATTCCATATAGAAATTACAGCTTTAAAGGTTCTAGAAAAAATAATTTATAGCTTTTATGGTCCCCCCCAAGTCTATAAAATTTGAAAACAATTGACAAATATGTTACAGACCATAAACGTATCTCTCATAAATATATACATAGATCCGGTACTTTTGTGAGATTTTTAACGAGATCTCTTTAAAATAATTTTTATTAAATTACTGCATAACAATTGCTTAGGAGGCATTAGAGTTTTCTGAATAATTGATTAAAAGAGAGAAAAGGAGAAAAAATTAATTACAAAAAAAGAAAGGTAAATTTTTTGCTAACGGAAGTGAAAGTAAAAGACGTTTATTAAAAGACTTGAATGCTCTCAAGCAAACATGCATTCTAATCATTTTACAGTCACTTTTATCTGTCCAAGAAATTTTAACACTATGGCCTTTTTAATTAATAATGTTTAAAATTTTAATTTATGAATATCAATTTTTACAAATATAACTTTTTAGAAATAATTTTTAAACTGTTTTTATTTAGAAATTGTTCGCGAATTTTTAAAAGAATACTAGAAAACTAGCAAAAACTAGGCTTTTAATATAATCTGCCATGCTATTTTTAATATAAAAAATAAATACACTTAATGAAGTTTTTTAGGTAACTTAAGTTTTCAACAAAAAACGATGTAAATACGAGTAATTTATAATGATCACCACCAAGAAATGTTTCAATTTCTAATAGGAATTTATCAGGGAAACCTGAAGCTGAGACAAAATACCTTACAGCAAAAATTACAAAACACCATTAATAAAAATATTTTCAAAAATACACTTCATCAATCTACTTTAAGTACACTAATATTTAAGCTACAGTAGTCAACTGAGTAGAATTATTTTTTGAATACTCCCAAACATGCAGTTTAATTTACTTTAGGAATATTTTTAATTAATATGTAATTTTAATTATTTTAAATAATAAAAAGAACACTTTCAAGCACGAATTATTGTTTAAATACAATTTTTTCTAATACCCATATGTGTAACAAGTAAACTAAGTATATAAAAAACAAATAGAATTAAGATTACTGCATGGGAATGGGCAACTATTGTTATATGATACGCGACAGTCTGTTACATAAAAATAAATTTCTAATTCGATGTGATGGGATTTTCTTCGCGCATAAAAATAATATATATATATATATATATATATATTTAATTTTAACATTTCACAAAAGAAAAATTAATTCTGCTTTTTATTGGCGGGTAGGGGTGGAAAAAAGTCAGTACCTGCAGCCAAAACTAAAAAAATAGAGGAGTGCAACTTCCTTACTTTTCCTTATCACACCATTACCTTATGCCATTCGAATTGAAAAAAGATTTTAATTTTAAATTGTAATTATATCCGTTCTTTGCTTAACTAACTGAGCACTTAAAGGGGACTATGGGCATTTAAATATTTTAATAACTTTCATACAGATAAAAAATTTAAATTTTGCACGCATGTGCACATTAATGTAAGTGTGTCAAATACTTTAAATTTTTTCCCAAAGTAGTTTCAATTTTATGTTTTATTCATAAAATTATTTTTTTAATTCAAAAGTGCTCCATGCCTTTCAGTTTTTTAAGAATCCTTTTACATTTTACTTTATAATCATTTAAAAATATATTAATTTGAGAATTTCATGAAAAGTTAATTAAAAAAAAATACTTATTTTCGCAGAAAAACATTTTTGACAAAAATTTGATCTATAATTAATTGGGCTTTTATAATCTATA